CGCCTGATTTCCGGGGCTGTCTACCGACATGTCGCGTCGTCGCGACATCAAAGAATTTCCTACGTATTTTATGGGCCCGCCACGGTGTTCGCGGCTTGTTATTAAAGGATCACCGATCGATAAAGATCTTCGGGCATTTTCGGAAGTGATCCAAAGGGAATCGGAAGGGGGTCGTTGTCGTAGGAAGTCGGGTGTCAGACGGTGTCGGACCTCATTCGAGTTCGATCCGCAGATCTATAAACGTATCTCACTGAGCGAGTCTATCTTACGAACGCGAACATACGAGACGTAGTGTGTGCTCGAGCCAGAACGCGATACAAGACGACGGCCTTAATTAGCATTACAGCGTGTCCGTCCGACCACGAGTGGCTCACGACGGCATTACCCCAGGCGTTGCCTTAGATAGGCTCAGGATCGCTAGGCGTTGCCACAGGTCGAAAGCAGAGCACAAGCCCCTACGCGTTCGAGTCTTCGGCAGGGCATAAGCCCCTACGCGTTAAAACGATACAGGGCACAAGCCCCTAAGCGATAGAAACATCATTATGCGGCGAAATAAATTCGTGCAAACTATTTGTAGTTGCATACGTGTATATATTGTGATAATAAACGAAACTACAGTGCGACAATGAAAGTTGTGGTACTGATACAATGAACAAATAGTAAGTAATTAGGTTTGTCCAAGAATAAAATAAATTATAAAAATAAAAATTGTCATAAATTCAAGTCAAATAGGCTTGTCGGAGAGTAAATCAATTGTATAATATCGTGAAGGAATACCGAAGTCATGATCAATGTAACTGTGCTGTCTAAGATAGCAGTATACGCATAATGTAAAAATTCAGTGTCAGACTGTAAATTTAGACTGTCTGCTTGCATATGAATGTGAAGCACTTCTGAGATACGTCGTTTGTGCAAATATTTTTCTTGGTCAAGTATTGAGACATTCTCCTAATAGAACTCATTATCATTAAAATTTTAAAAAGATTTATTCTTTATTCTAACAAGAAAATGTGCATTTATATTAAAAAGGGGACGTAAATAAAAAAAAATCGTTTTAATTATAGTTTAAATGTACAGATAAGACGCAAATGATCCTCAAAATCTTTCTACTTCAAACAATAGAGTTCACAAACATAATTTACGTAGTGGGGGAAGACCGCCAAATTCATCTGTTCTCAAATGCCCACAAGTTGAAAATTTTGTGGGTGTGAATTCGCATCCAGGTGTCCTTTACGGATTAAATACCTATTAATTAACATTGATATAATTTATTGTATAATATTGGAATATTGTATGCTCAAATTAAACACAAATAGTATCGATTATTATTAGCTAATGTAACTTATTTTGAATAATAAAGAATAAATTTGAAACAACCGACCGTTTTGAGCGTGGACCAGCTCGTCGTGGGCCAGGCTCGTAACGTGGTTCATGCGAAGAGAGAGGAACGGGAGTTAATTAACTGAGTTCTCGGTTAACATAAAGTTTAACATTTATTGTGTATTCAAGGCAAGAATGAAATTTAACACGTATTACATATTTAAAGAAATAACGAAGTTTAACATTTATTATATATTTGAAGAACGAAAAGATAACAATTGACTTCACCCGTATATTTAGTGTGCAAGAGTATCGCGAGGAAATAACTAAAGTATTGAAGAGCGGATTTCGGTCTGATACCCTGGTGAAAATAAAAATTGGAACGTAAGTCGAACGTAAGGGGAGAGTGACCGAAGCGTAAACGAAACTTCTAGGAGGCGAAAATTGGAACAGCGAAGTGTAAAAGAAGCGTTAACGCTTCCTTTACATTCCGCTGTTCCAATTTTCGCCTCCTAGAAGTTTCGTTTACGCTTCGGTCACTCTCCCCTTACGTTCGACTTACGTTCCAATTTTTATTTTCACCAGGGTATGATTTATCACGAGGATACAGAAGTATCCGATTTGCTTGAACGAGCATTCTATGGCGGTGCACGGACGGACAAGATAATTATTTACAGATTCTTGAAGCTCGTGGGCCGCGGGATTATTTACAATGGTTTAGTGTAACGATAATGTGTACGATGATATATTTAAGCACGCGTTCGGAGGGCCCGCCGCGGGGAGCGACGGCGCGGGAATGGTAGCGCGAACGTGGGCGAATTTACGTCGGCATCCCCTGGAGTCCGTTTAGGGGATCGATGTCACCTACGAGGACAGCGAAATCACTGTGCCCGGTATTCGATCGTTGGGATCAAACATTAGTATGCGGGACGACATTGACCGGGATAGCAAAACGATTTTCCCGGAGTTGCTGGCGGTATCGGAAAGGTATCAGGGTGGCTAGGTCGACTTTGGTAGATACTGAGGAGACAGCGAAACCACAACCTCCTTTTGCTGTCGGGACTTAGCCGAAATTCAGAAGTTGCTTGTGCGAAACCATATGAGGAACAAGGCTCAGCGCAGTGGATTTAGACGGTTGATACCGGACTCGTCTTTGCCGTCCCAGCCTCCCCTTTTATACCCGTTCGCTACCCTGCGAACGAGTGCTTGGGGGGGGGGGATCGGCCGGCCTCGGTCGGTTCTGTCGATCAGTTCTCCGTGCTGCCTGGAGGTTGACGATCGCTTGCTGGCACGGCCCGGCCGATCGGCTGGGTTTGGCCGCTTCCGTATGGGTTCGGCATGCGAGGGCCGTTGGGCCTCATATTGCCGTATTTGAAAATATTATTAAAAAAGTGGCGCACCTTACATCGCCCCGCGGTTGTTCGGCGGGGCGGCATTCGGTCAATGATCGCCGGGCATCCAGGTTTCCGAAAATTACAGGGACAATGCGGGAACGTGAAAGGTGGCATCGTTACAAATTCATGCATATAGAGTTGATGCATGTTTGGAATTGATTATTTAAATGATGAATTAAACAGATGTTTTAATTTTCACGTGTACTACACGATGATTAAATATATTAAAACACAAAGGAAATTATGTCATGAAATTGATTCGATGATGTGACAAAAGATTTAAAATCAGCATAGATCAAAGTGTCTATCTTGATCTGGCTATATTATGACATTTTCAACTAACACGTTAATTCTTTCAGGTAATACTCTTTCCGCGCGGGAGAATCAAGCCATTGCGAAACGACGAGTGCACGACGTCTAAGCGTTTGTAACTGAACATTCGGAAGATTATCTCTTGGCAACCGATTTTGCCAGCGACTCTCGTGCTTATCTCCATTATCTGAGCACTCGTCGAAGTAAGTTGTCAATGAATATAAGGTCGAGCTTCTCAGTCTCGCACGTGGAGCGTGCCCTCACACATGGGCCGCTCTATTTGGTAATTGCCGAGCGTTAAGATCCTCTCAAATCGCGCATGGAGATCGCGCGTGGGGAGAATATTCGCCGCAAGAGCTCGTGACGAAATCATAAAAAATACGCTCTCATGTCGCGACGCGCTAAACAAGAATTAAATTATATTCGTGCAATTAGGGAAATATGTAAATATATAGATTATTTTCTTTGTCTCTTTTTCTCACATTTTTATATTAGATGTAACTTTATCCATATTTATATTTTATGTTATTACATTATATAATTAGATTGTCAATTTACATTATCTACGTTATATGCCAGAACATCTATTTATTTAAAATATTTAAAATTTCAAATACACGCTAATAAATTGCACTAATTATTTATTATAAAGCGACAACAAATAATTTCGAGAAATGCGAGTTATCGACTTTACATGCACTTTTTTAGATAGGAGAAGCGACAACAAATAATTTCGAGAAATGCGAGTTATCGACTTTACATGCACTTTTTTAGATAGGAGACTAGACAAAACATGCGCGCGCTACGTGCGCGCCAATACGACACGACACGAAAGTCGAACGTGACACAATCGAGCTTAGAACAACCAATTGGCATTGCGGAAAAGAGACAATGAATTCGACTCAGCCACAACTTTAACATAATACGGATTTTTTATTAATGGATAAATTTGCGTGATCGTGTTATACATGAAGATAATGCCACTTGGGTTTTTTTAATTTTAACAACAGTTTTTTTTAGGTCTTATTTCTTGAAATATCTAGAATAAATAGAAAGCTGATTTATGCTCTTTCTCAACTTCAATAGTAAATTGTAATGTATGAGATTGATAAACAAAAATAATGAAGAGAAAAAGATATTTTTAATTTATGTTATATGTAGTACAACTTACCTTAGTAAGGTCAACTGAATTTACCGATCTCTGAAATCCTCTTTAGTTGCACTACAATGGACTGATAATGAGCAATGCCATTGCGTTCGTTATCCTTATATATATAGCAATCGTCATTGATAAATAACACAGTTAAACATTATATAACCAGATTTTATTCTCACATGTGTTTAATTTAGGCTTGGATAATCTGTGATCTATCTTAAGCGTTTCAACAATCTTTCTCAGCTATCTTCAATGAATTGAGCAGATTATGAAGGTCTCTCACTTACTTATATAATCTCTTTGCCGCTATGCCTCTTCTACTCTTTATATATTGTATATCATGATGGAATATATATAATCCTTTTGACGGGGATAGAAATGCCTATAGCCATTTAAATTGGCAGAGGCACATATACATACATATACATTTTGAATATACATATATGTATAATGTATATATATATGAGCCGGTATCCCTACAAGTTCAGATGGCTAGGCATTTCTGTCCCCACGTGTACATACAACTTAGTGTATGTACAATTAGTTATGACCATGGACATAGGAATATAAGAGACATAGGAATATAAATTTGACAGAGCATAGAGTTGTGGGGGGGAAGCCACTTCGGGACGGTGCGACGAGTACCCAAATTTCATTGACTGTTAGTTTGCGCAAGCGCAATGATATAAGTTCTCATGTTCGTGTGATACACACATATACATATAATAGACCGAGTATCCCTATGCTTTTGCTGTGGAGTGGAGGGGGTGAACTGGGACCCAATAAGAGTGAACTCAGCACAATCTCCTCCCGCATTTCGGCTTTACTCCCCTCGCCTAAGTTATGACTTTGTGCTCTGTCTCTTTATATTCCTTGGTTATGACTTGTGCGTATCCTACTGTAACCGGTTTGTGAAATTCCTTGAAATTTGACTTTTAAAATACAAAACTTAAAGGTCTATAAGAATCTTCGTACATGTAAATGCAAATAAAAATTATGTACGGGAGAGTTACCAAATGCGTACCAATCTCCTAAATCGTATTTTTTCAATATTTTATAGTTCTATTTAATAGAATCAACATTTAATAACATGCTATCAACATTTTAAGAAATCAGATATAATTAATATAGATTTTTGATCAATTTATATAGCTGATACTAATGTAACCATGCAATTTTTAATTAAATTGTTATTTTTTCCTAAAAGAAAGATTATTATTTCATATTTTACATTCATCGTATATCCTCCTCCTCCTCCTCCTAAGTCGTTTCATAACTGCAGAGGCGTCGTGATCCGCAAGACAAATGGACCTTGTCACAGTGAGGCGTCACTCCTAATTTCTGTCCAGTTCCTCGGCCGGGCGTCTCTCGTAGAGAGTTGCCCGTTAGGACATTCACTTGGTCAATTCACCTTGATGGTGACCTCCCACGTGCGCGCCTCCCAAGGGCCTTGCCTTTCACAATCGTCTTTTCAAGACCGTCTTCCCGGCACATTATGTGTCCAAAGTATTGGAGAATGCGGTCAGAGACAAGCGATTCCAAACATATCCGTATCCCGAACTTATTCAAGACAGAGATGCTCGTGCGCATCGCTGTCCATGGGACCCGCAAGAGCCGCCTGTAAGTCGCATTTGTATGCAATTTTTATTTCACTCTGTGGAATTTCACAAAGTCCGTAAAAAAATCTGTCAAATATCAAAATATTCTCCAAATTTTGCAAGGTTCCATAATCCGAATTAAAAATTGCACATAAATGCAGTTTACAGTTTTCGAAAGTGAATCAATAGCTTGAATTTGCACACTCGTTGAGCGTTGCATAACTTTTTTTCACCGAGTTATTCAACATTGAACCAAAAATGGTCCTTATGCTTCAACATTGAATATCTCCCCACTCGGTGATAAAAAAATCGCACAATGCTCAACAAATGTGCAAATTAAAGATAAAGACATACACTTTTAAATGCTGTAAACTGCACTTGTGTGCGATTTTTAATTCATGTCGAGAAGCCTTGCAAAATTCGTAGCAAAGTGTGTCGCATTTTTATTTCCATATAGCTCTGTAAAAACTCAGTAAAACTCATTAAAGTCGATATAAAAAGTAAATACTAAGTTGTAAAATGCTTTTAAAAAATTTTATTGTAATTTGTCATTTTTTAAATAATATTACACTCTTCTTTCGAATGTAGTATGGAAAAAGTATGGTTGCATATCGAAAAAAATTTTGCTGTAGCACAGTATAAGCAAATTATTAAACTCGAAAAAAATTAAAGTAAGGGCTTTGGGCAGAAAACCAAATAAAAAAATGAAACTTACTATTTGATGAAAGTTAGTTGACTGATGTAGCTGATGTAGCCGTCTTGGCTGGGACATTCCAGGAAACAATGTCAGCACTCGAATTAAATTAAATCGCTCACATATTTTAGTAACTGGTCAAGAACTTTCTTATTGTAAAAATATGCTCCAAAAAAAAAAGAAGTGAATAGAGCGAAAGAGAGGGAATCCTGCGGTGTCGCAGTTTATGTATAATACAACTTATGGAATGTGCTAAATCGAGAAATTAGATTTTTTATTGACAGGATCTCTTAAACAAAATACAACCGTTAATTCCTCTTGAACTTATTAGAGAATTTAATTTGAAATCATTCCGTCCGTCTCAGTCTCACTGTTAAATCTTACAACTATTCACTGCAGGTAAACCGTCTTCGCTTGTTTATCAATTTGAGTTTCACATTTCGTTATTGATGATTCACTACCTCACCATTATAGATTTTGTTTAATTGGTCATCTATTGATAAGTTCAGTTCTAGTCACACTCAGAATTTTGGAGATATACAATTTGTTACTTCTAAAAAAAACATTTATTTGTCTCTTAACCATTGGCGATTTCTCTTTTATTAGTAAAATTTTGAATCAATTTCAGACTTCGGTTGAAAACAGATAAAACATATTTTTATTGTCCTCCAGGCTAAGAGAATACTTTGTGCTCCAATAAAATTTTATGGATCTGTCGCGACTCTACACCTAATATGTCTGCCATGGACGGTGTTTACTTATTAATTTTCTTTATGAAAATTTAAAGTCTTTGACATGTTTAAAAATTGAGTTTATTGCCACGAATAGGACATACATGACAAAATGCAGTTTTCAACTATACCTAGGTAAAATATTACTGTCAATAACAGTAGTTATAAAATTAACCATATTCTTTCATTATCGACTTGAATTAGTGATTGAAAAAAATCAACTGGATAATATCATAAGGAGACTTTATTAATGTCACAATAAAGTATTTTTAAAACAAAATACTCATACAAAAAGTATAAAATTGAACATTTGTACATTGATTTAGCGCTTAAAAGTACGTAAAATAATACAATGTAACGCGATGCATGTTAATACACATTACATAACTTTAAAGATTATTAACATATAATAAACTTCACGCATTCTCAGAGATCAAGTTTCACCTGTTCCTTATTTAATTCTTCTTTCATAATTTGCAATACTGCAGTTTCTATCTTAACGAGATAAGTTCTATGTAGCATGGCTAGTATCACAATTCCAACTTCTCATCTTCGCAATAAAATAAAATATGCAATTACATAGAAACAGAAAATGTAGTTCGCACTTAATTTAACTTTAACTTACAAAATGAACTATTGGTTATGCTGATCGTAAAGAGAGAAGCGTGATTATATTCATTTATATACAAATAAAAATATGTACTGCAAATATGAGTAACGCCGCAATTTAAATATGTTGATGAGCTAATTTATAAAATACAAATGTCTAACAAATGGTTTAATGTTATGTTAGAGTCTGCGCCTGTAACAATAATAATCTAGTTCAGTAATTAAGTACATCTAGATATGTCTAAAATAATAAAATTAAGTACAATTTTTCTACAAATATTATAAATTACAGAAAATAAGACTCTATTAAGGAAATTGTACACAAGCGTAACTACAGTAGCTGCACGATGAGGGTCTCAATTAAAAGTCATCTAATATTTATACAAAATATAAATACTATTTATGTTTCGGTAGTTCATCGAATGTTCTTTAAAAAATTATATATTTAATTAATTTCATATTAAGTTCTAATTTTCCGAAATGCGGCCTACGTAGAAATTTTAATTAAAGCACATACAAGAAATGAATATTGCTTAATTGTCAGTGTTGTAATCTTGCGCATCGCAGATCATTTAAATTGTAGCGACAACACGACTATATCGAATATACAAACTTTCGGACTTTTTGTGAACCTCAATAAAAATTGTTGAATATTAATTAATTAATTCATAAAAAGAATATTATTTAATTTATATTATTTATATTATTTATTATAAAAAAAATATTATCTCGTCAGAGAAGACTAACATTCGATGAAACCGACAAGCTTTTTGTCTTCATACAGAGTAACTTAAGTCGTTTTGTTAGTCGGTCGGAAACGCGACATGTAAAAGTCGCAATCCGTGCAATATAGTGTTGGTTCAAGTACATTTCTCTTCCGACAGAGATTGCAGGGTGTTACGAGTGCTCTCACGGTGGTTGCAATGCCTGTTGGCGTCTGCAAAGGAGGCTGCGTCACCATCGGGACGACCTTCGCAGTGGACATCGCAAAGTGCATCTGTTTGGAAAGCGGAGGATGCTGGTAGGCCGGATACTTCACATTCGGCTGTATCTGACCGTTCTGCAGAGTCTTGGGATACTGATTAGGTACCATAGAACTTTGTTGCTCTATCTTCTGAGACGATAATTGTCGCTGGTAGTTGTCATGTCTCTGCTGATAATTTTGCGCGTTTTGTTGTTGTTGCTGCTGATAGGACACAAGTGAATTAGATGATGGTTGATACTGCGGTAATGGTTGACCCGCTTTAGTCTGCGGAAAAACAGTTTGATAGGGACCTTGATAGGAACTTTGAGAGTATTGACTGTGATATGGACTCGGCGATTGATTAGGCGGATAAAATTGCTGTTGCGAATGCTGGACAGTTATCGGGCTGGCATTGTGAGACGGAATTCTTTGATTCAGAGTATTCTGCTGTGATTGAGCAGTCACTTGTTTGTTCATTTGATTATGCTGCTGCTCCAACTGATTATGCAATTGCTGCTGATAATATGTTCCATAGCCGTTTTTCTGAGGTAACATTTTCGTTTGTTGCATGCCATTTTGAATGTATTGTCCATTTATTTGCGTTGGATAAGGACTAGCTGGTTTCTGAGTTTGCGATAAGGGAATAATCTGATTTCTTGGATAGGACGCTTGCGTCTGCGGATACACCGATTGCATATATTGTGTGTACCCATTCTGAGTATATCTAATCTGCTGTTGCAGCTGCGGTGAATAGGACGTCGGTTTCGAAGTGTTTATGGAAATGCCAGCATAGGTTTCTTTACGATCGACCACATCTTTACCTTCGTTTCCACAAGACCCGCAAGATTTTTTATCCGTTAGCGATCCAATCGAATCGTTTGAATTCTGTCGTCCGAATGTAGGTTTAAGAGTATCTGAAATTGGATTAACGCTCCTCAGTTGATCCTGAAAAGGTGTCGCCGGCACGCTGTCGGCTTCGCTCTTCAAGGGAAGGGTCTGTTGTTGGAATTTTGCAGCAGTATTTTCGCGAATCGTCTCTGCCTCCTGAAGACTTCTGATTTCTCGCAGTACTTGAGCAGTCTCAGGTTTGTTCATCGCAGAACGCAGGACTCTTTCCAAAATAGGATTGGGTATATACGAATCCTTTTCATCATCCTCCGCTGTTGCAACAAGCACCACTTGATCGCAAAATGATACGCTTTTCTTTTTACCAATCCGCCGTTTTACCTTTCGCGGAGCAATGTCCTCTTCGCTTGGCAGTATCGTTGTATTTTGAATAGTGTTCTGCATCGCCACTTCGCTGATGTCGTCTTCCGGGCAATCAACAGGCAAACCATTCTCATGCGGGAGTGTCAAGGACATGGATAACATCGCGACATTTAATTCGCTCTGTTGAACAGATTCGTTTGGCGGCAACATCGCGATAAAGCTGCTTTGGCTGGAACTAGAGTCAAAACTAGAGTTTAAAACGGTCTGTGAATTTGAAGATTCCATCTTCGTAAAGACATTATTCTCAGAAGATAACTTGGCCGATTTCGTGCCCTCTATCGATGATGTTTCCTGAGACATATCCGATATTAACGAGGGAACGCAATTTGCATTCTGTTTTGTTTGAGGTTTCACATCTGTGTCGGACTTTGAGGCTGGTTGCAGCTTGATCTGTTCAAATCTAGCAGCCATATCTTTTACCGAAGAAGCGACTCTCGGGCAGTCTGTAACGTCACGACCTTGATCATAATTCTGTCCAAGATTATTCATCATTAAATCACTAGTTCTCCTAGCGATAGTCGGTCCTGGAATTGTCGGCATTGACGAAGGCCTAACTTTTGGAATGTCTTGATTTAAAGGTGCTTGCCTTTTCATTTTCCTCTCTGCCTGTTTAGCTTGCAGTTCTCTCAACCATGTTTCGCTCGATGACTTCTCCTCGTCCTCGTGCTCCTGCGCTCGGTTCTCTTTATTTGATTCATCAGTTAAAATTTGTTCCCTCTTGTTCTGTAATTGTGCTAACAGGCTGCCAATCTGCTGTGCTTCGAATTGCTGCGCACGTTGTTGCGATTGAAGAGTAACCTGATGCTGCTGAGGCTCTTGGAGATGAGTTGGCTCGTCAATTGGTGGTGGCGGCGGTGGAAAATCTTCACTGGTTTGTCTCGAATGCGACACCGAATGAATCGATGGATATGGTGGTGGTGGAAAGTCCTCGCTCGGTTGCCGTGAGTGCGAAATATTATCGTTTTCAGGATAAGGTGGTAAAGAATCTGGTTGAAGCTGTTGCTTGACGGGACTCTGCTCATTGTGCACATCTGCACGAGTGACAACGAAGGTCGGCTCATAGAGTATGCCGTTAGCGTATTGTACAACGTCATCCTGAATTCTAGGCTTATTATTGTAATTTGTTTGACATGTTCCAGAAATATTCTGATCATTATAAGATGGTAAAAATGGAAGCGAATGCGATTCCGATGAGTAATCAACATAATCTGAGTTTCTGTTCGTCACATTAGGTGAGTTATTTGCGTTCATGTGATTCCAATAAACATTGTTTTGATCCTGCGATGAGTTGGACACGCACCGATTGTCCGGTAAAGGATATGCAGCTTTGTCGGATTGCTGCTCATTGTGCACTTCGCCCGAACACTTAGACTTGCTAAGCTGAGAAGTGGTTCTGAGCGGAGGGGGCGGAGGCACTTTCGCCACGTGTAACACTTTACCGGCATTGCCATGGAAGCTCTTTCTCATCAAACGGCTTCTTTCGAGATTTGGATTGCTAGTATTTCCAGATCCGTTGTTTCCGGCGAATTCCAAATGTCCCTCTGACAAGTAACCGCTCAGTGATTGGCTTACATCATTACCTTTTAGACCAACGCTGGAATCGTCCACTGACTGTTTCGGTAAGACGGATGATCCTTCCGCATTCACGTTTGCCTGGCTATCCTGTCCTTCTCGTAAATCCGGCATACTTCTGTTCTTCCTTTTGATCAATCCGCCCATAAGTAATTTTCTGCGTATCTTGTGCTGTTTCTTACCCTGCTTCTGCTCGATCGTAGCCGTATTGTTGAGCTGGGTATTTTTTATGACAGTTGCATTAATCTCGGTTTCCTTCGGCTTCTCAATCTTCATTCCTTTTAGAGACGGTGACAATCTAGATGGTGCTATCGAAAAATCCTTCGATACGTTCTTATTCCTCTCCTCGCTTCTCGCGCGTTTCTTATCTTTCTTGTCATCTTCACAACGTTTCGTACGGCTAAACAAGCCAGTCCTTTGCGTTGGTCGATCATACAGCATATATTCTTCATCCTCAATGACGTTCACCGCTGTCGCTTTACTACGTAGAGTCTTTTTCTTCGGTAAAGTAGCGTAAATCTCGATACTCTTCGTGGCAGGTTTATCCACTGTTGTTGGTGCGTTCACTAGAAGTTCCCGACTATTTTGTCGGGAATGATTACCTTTATCTCGTGAACTTTGCCTCGAGTGTTGACTCGATTTACTGTTCTCTCGCGAGTGTCTTCCTTCGGGTACCCCATCTGGAAAAAAAAGAAAACGCAATGTCATATACATATTCTTATTTTCTGCAGTTATTCTATAGTTTTAAAGGTTGCAAAGAAAACCGATTTTGTTTTCAATTTTTCAACAAATTTTTTCGGTTCCTTTCCCAAGGAGTAGAAAAATTCAATGGAAAATTTCACATATATATTCATAAAATCTGTCACATTTGCAACACTTTGATACACTTTTTAAAATTCTAAAATTTTATAACAAGCATATATTTATTGCTAATAATGTAAAATACAAGAAAAATAAAAAGCAAACTACACAAGAATAAATAAAACAAAATTAATATATTTTTCAAGTAAAACGAATAACTCTTGATAATTATTAATAATCAAAATTCTTTAAAAATGCTTGCGAACATTATAAATAATATAAACATTAACTTAAATTAATCTTTACACTAGTTGTTACGTTTCTTAAAACAGTTTATTTTATAATAATTAATCCTCATCTCAAGGAATATAGTATTCAAATATAAACATAAAAATTAACTCATTATTAATTCCAGCGTTTATACGAGGTGTCTTATTTTAATAATATGTTATAAAATACGAGAGTTATAATTTATAAGAGTAGCTTACATTTAATTTACAAAAAATTTACACGTTTTAACGAGCAAATTAAAATAAATCACACAAAGTCACATTACTTCGTGAATTCCAATTAATATTTATGATAAAAAATATTAAAAATTAGATAGTATATCGTTTACATAGCAATTTTTTGCAAAAAACCGAAATTTTTCTAGTTTTTTTTCCAGCAATTTGAAAAAAAGCAGCTTTTTTTAAACTATAGCATGTTCTATCAAAAGGATCGATATCTCAATTCCTTACCTTCTTTCTCACCGTTAACAGTGACTTGTTCCTGCAACATTCTTCTATGCAAACTCCTCGTTCTCATGACGCAAGTATTGTGTTTCATTCTTGCAATCGTGATTGTGTGAGGATTATTATACGGGGCGTCCATCGCAGCTCTGGCTTTATTGCTGGCCGCGCTGCACAATGCGACAGCTGTGTTAAGATCACCAGCATCTTCAGCAGCACGAGATTTATCCAGCAACGCGTCCGTTTCTTTGCATAATCGTTCACAATCGTCGCCGGAAGAAGGTTGATAACCTTCCGGTATTTGAGCAAGCTGTAAGAGATGATATACAAATTACGAAAGAGTACGCATAAACATTTTGCGATAACGATTAAGAAATTTAGAAATTTATATCTATGAATTTTTGCCATTATTCTCAATTTTGTTAAAAAGGTATGTATTACATTACTGAAAATAAAAATTTTATAAATTATTTTATTATTACATTTCTGTGTAAAATGTAAACACAATTCTTTTATTATTTTTTGATTTTTTGTTTGTGATTCTTATGTAAAATCACATTTTATAATTTAATGAGAAAGTAGCATTATAAATTCAATCAAAGTTTTTACATAATAAATATATATTAATAAAAAAAACAATAATAAATATTCATGCAAAAGTTTATTTGGATCTGTTTACTCGTTTAAACGCTTTTTTTACTTAAATCTGTATGTAAGCTAAATTATTTGTTGTTTTTTTTATTGTAGTTGGCTTCAGATAATATTTAGAACCAAAATTTTGCGGAAAATTTTAACCAGTTTTTTGCAGCCTTTTATCGTTTTTTTTTAGCTGGTGTTGCTAAAACATCTATGTAATATCTTTTATTTACCTGTAAATTGTGCTTTAAACCCTGCTGAAGTGGAAGACTGTCCGTAGAAGACAAAGAATACGAGTCGTAACCAGCATCATAATGACCGCTGCTGCTGCTCGAAAGTTCTCCAGATTTGCTGATAGGGCTTTTAGGTACACCCGAATTTCTCTGCATTTTATTAACAATGTACAGATACGTATTGTCCATTGTAGTAGATGAACTCGACGACGCGCTGTTCCGATCACCGGACCAATTACCGGAATCTCGTCTTCGAGGCACGTTCATATGGTCAGGGATACTGATACCATCTTGCGGTGCCGATCCCACGCTTAAGCTACGTGTCAACTGCATCTGCTGCTTTTTCTGTTGCTGCATTACATTTTCCACAGCGCGACGGCTAATATACTTCGATTCTACTTCACCATCAACCGTGTCTACGCCCTGCGTGATATTATTTTGATGTCAAGAAATTAAATACGAAGTCTATACTAGAGGTGTGCGAATAGTTCGAACTCGAATCCAATCGAATCGAATCACAATAGAGTCGATTCGAATTCGAATCTGCAGATTCGAAATCGAATAGTTCGAGAATTTCAAATCAACAATGGTTCGATTTCGAATCGATCGCCTAATGTAATATTAATCTGAGAAAATTTGATTCAGATTCGATTCGTATTCGAATTAAAGAGATTCGATTCGATTCGATTCGACCATGCAAAAACTTGATTCGCACACCTCTAGTCTATACATTTGCTTCAGTAAAAGAAGAATCTATAGGAGATCATTTATAAAAAATATTAATTGTTGTACAACGTACCTGATTGCTAAATATATTATTCTGAATGTCTGTGAGATTCTGGTAATCACTGTAAACGTTTCGTTGAGTGTAGAGATGCGGTGGACTGTCGGGATTGGGTGTGATGGCACGTCTGGCAGTGCTGTTGATGGATGGCTTTTCAGGACTAGGCGTGATCGAACGGCGAACGCTGTTTTTTGGGGATGTCTTCAGGCCATTGTTATTCGGAAAAGGGATAATAGTCTTTGGAGCATTCTCGGTGTTAACAGGAGTACCGGCGGGCGTCGCGTATAAGAGTAGTAAAGGTTGATAACGACCTCTTCTACACTTTTCCACGACTTGCTCCCATCGAGGTCCAATTTCCTTGACAGTGGCATCGTCAAAATAGATCCACACCTAAAGGTTTATTTCATCGTATTACACCGTGTTATAAGCTGTGTCACTGTAGCTATAAAACTACCTGTTGATACGAAGGTAACACTGACCTTCAATTTCGTATGGAAGAAAAACGTAGAATAATGTTTCCCGTAATAGGTAACTACTCCTACGAGATTATGCACAGTAGAGGCGCCCCATCGAGAGTCTACCACGCTATGGAAGACATCGCTAAGTCGAAGGGACGTGCCCACAGTCGCAAAAACGTCCATGATATGCTCCAACGACGGTCGTTCGCTGTCCCAGACGACACCGACAGAAACTATTTCCGGTCGATTCATCAGGGTCCGACATATTTGAATTTTCGCACCGCAAGAACTCTGAGCAAACGAATATAAAGAAATATATTTTTAATACAATACTTTATGACACAATAATAATTTCACACACGCGCGCGCGCGCGCAATTATACGGTAGATTTTGATCGTGTCCCATTTTTTGAGAGAAAGATCGGACATAAATTCGTGGAAAGAATGTATTCATAAAACTCGTATTCGAATGAGTCAGTTCTACTAATCTTATTTAAAATCCAATGTTATATGAGTGGGTTACCACGAAACTAATGACAAAATACAACGCGGCAGAACGCTCAGGATTCAACGCGTTAGTCACAGTTTGACCAAAGATTTATAAAACATAAACCATAGGCTAAGCCTTGCTTACCGGACAGTCACGGATGTCACCCATTCCGCCAGCTCTTCGGAGAAGTTGGCCGAAGAGATCCGGATTATTTCTAGAATTCAATGGCGTTTGATGAGCTTGAGACGTCAACGCTGATGCAGACACATAATGAACCATCTGCGAAAGAAATGTAGACAATGTTTTTGTTTAACAAATTTAATTCATTCAAGTTTATTTAATTTAAAAAATCAATATTTATAAAATATAGATTGGCAATGGAAGGACAATTATATAATAATATAATTAAAAATCAAACAGAGAGGATGCTCAGATATTTTTAGTAAAGGAGAAATAATAAAAACTAAATATTTACTGTTAGATTAAAATTGTTGAAAGTAAAGTATTTTCTATAAACTTTGCTAACAGAAAAACAATAAATCTAACATATGATATCTGTCATGTTCGTCGTATTTAATAATATCAGCAAAATTGCAACGAAAATCAAATAAAATTAATAGATTATGACATAAGATCTGTAGAATAAAATTTGACAGCAATCTGGCGTTTCATGTTTAAATAATTTTAAATAAATTGGCATAATGGAATAATAATTTAATTTACTTAAAAAAATTCTTTAATTAACACTTAATTAAACACAAGTGAAACAAAAATATTAATACCAATAACTTAATTAGAATTTAAATAATTAAAAAAACAATCAATCTCAATTTCTATCATTATTATATTATAATATAACATTTCATCATATTATCTCTGCAAATTTGGCCACAAATTTAATGCGGGTACAATTAATGCTTATTTGTTACAAAATCCGGATCGAATCTGTTACTGAACTGCCGGCATACTGCTAACATTCTGTTTAGTGGATAACAGCAACTAGTTTCATGCTTTTTACGGTTCGCTGATCAACGATGCCCGATGTGAACACGCCAAGGAAAACCAACTCCACCCACGAGATGCTGAGCGCTATATGTGGCATTATATGACTGTTCTCTTCTGTTTGCACGATATACGTTATTTAAGTTGCATACAGAATATTCATAGTATAAAGTTAAATTATAAAAATATATCTGTTTGCTGTACTATACAATAATAGAATACTGATATTTTATTAAAACAAAGCCCAAAAGAAATTACATAACAAATCTTAGTACATAAATATGTATGTCAATATGTGAAATCAAATTTCAATTTGTTTTTGCAAATTTCACTTCTCGACATTTTGCAGTTGAATTGCATTAGAATAAATTGGTTTAATTTTATGATTACTCGTTGTATAACTAAGGAAAAACAAGAAAATTACAAAATAAAATTTTAACAAGCGAAAACTATATATATTTTTTAGTGATAAATATCTTTATTTTTGTAGTTATAAATTTGTATAATTTCAATTTTTTGCGTAAAGTGATCTTTATTATAATTTATCAGCATAATTTGAGAAAAAAATGTACTGTCACGATTAGATAAATAAAAAAAAATAATTAAAACTTGAAATAGAAAAATAAGAAAAGGATCTCTTACTAACTAAATAAAATACTTAAAAATTGTCTTTCTACTTAATCACAAGTAAAATATTTTTGTCATGTTTTTTAACTAATAAATTTACTGACAATCTCACTAATTCGAAATTCTGTTTTCCTCAGTTTCTCTTTCGTAGAAATAGACCATGAGAAGAAAAGTTGCTAAGTATTGTACTTAGGTAGGTAGGTAGGATAAAACGTGACACCCTTAAAAGATCCGATGTCTATTATATAGAAAGACGAGAAACACAAAAAGGTATTGTATACTCAGGTAAAAATCTGGTAACGAATACTACGAATACTACGTGTAGTACTACACACAATACTACACACGAAAACGTAAACTGGAAGAAAAAGCGGAAAAATCCCTAAAAGATGTAATCGAACGTCAATTAATTTGACGCTTAATCTTTACTTTAGAAAATTTTTACTTTAAAAAATTCATGAAGAAATATCGCGTTTGCATTTTCGAACGCGATATTTCTTCATGATTTTTTTATATGCATATATTAATATGGCATGATAAGCATGCAATGTGAAAAGCATGACATTAATTACACCAACCTGTGTAAAAGGCAGTGGCTCCGACGTTGCACCGCAAGCCCCACAGACGCTTTGCTCGACGAGCGTCATGGCAAATTTCTGATGCGGTACACAATGCCTCGCGCTGCACATATCTTCAGCCTCGCTGCTTGCAATGTGAAGGTGTATACGTAAGAGAATGTTTTCCTGAAATTATAGAAAAAAATTTTATGTTAACTAGCACGCATTCCTTCATGTTTTCTATCGCAATTCGCAACTTGTCTTTACAAGGCCAAGTTGAATGTACATAAGTAGAAGTATATGTATCTCTGACATTTCTTATAAAAATATAGAATATAATTTTGTTATAAAAAATTGTGTGTCATCAACCTCGCGCGTTCAATTTAATGCATAATAAAGGTACGCTAGCCAGCAAATACTATTATACTCGATAAAAATCTTGCGTTTGAGAATATGCAGAATAACGGTACGTCACAGTTATGTTACTGTCCTTGCATCTATTGTACGTTTTCTCTGTGTAAGTACCAACTTGCATTGATATTATTCAGCCGACTAGTGCTGACATACATACGAGCATAAACTAGTGTCCAACGTGACTGTTGTGCAAACGAGAAAGTAGTATACTAGCGATATTTGCAAGGCTTAACTAAGATCATTATTGCTAGTCCAATCTCGTCTATGTAACTAGACATCATTAGAAACATTCGATCAGCTTCGAAATATTCAATAATGAAAATAGCGAGATTTTACCTGCGTCAGAGAGAAAATTCTGCAGAAGGCTACAATTTGACTTAATTCTATTACATTTAATATTTGGGCCTTCTATGCTGTAAAACTTTCTATGTTATTAACAAGAAAGTTCCACTCTTCTTCTCATTTTGAATATAATATACATTATAATATATAAATTTTCCGTAATATCATTTTTTTTAATTTTCCGTAATAGAGAAAGAAAGAAATACATTATTTATCTTCTTTACTTTCCTCGTAAATTGCAAATTAAAATTTTCAATTAATTTAGTATTCAATTAATACAGAAAGAAAATCACTTCAGCAATCACGATTTATCGTAAAGCAATGAATAAAAATAAATATTTTAGCAACATAATAAGTTTTAAATCTGATCAATTGTCATTACATGTAGAATTGGCTACATGTATCAATATCTCGCTGTTTCAATCAGAAGTAATGATACCTGGAAAAATAGAAATGATTGGCACTTACGAAACATTCCGCTGCGTCGTCCATAAAACCGAGCTGAAACCTCTGCTGATCGAGAAAGCTCTCGGCCAACGCGCGGCGCAATGTGTCGGGCGGCAGAGCGCTCTCTTGCGAAAACTGCAGCTGCGAGAACAGGTCCTGAAACAAGACAATGTGACGAGGATTTAATGCACGAGCTACCAAACGAGATCTCGCCGTTGAGCATCCTGAACGCATCGATGAGAGACCGCAAAACGAGTAATAAATACATACGAATAATTATGACATGAACGAAGACATATCATTATACAATTATATAATTTTATATGTTTGTACATGTATAATATAACAAATATAAAAGATGTAAAATACATTATAATATTAATATTTAGCATAGAGTTTCCTTTTGGCTCAAATAAAGATATAATTTATCATCGACATTCCATCTATAGAACTATTAATCTTCTTGTATCTATTAGCCTTGTCATCCTGGTGTAAGTTGCGTGACGAGCAAGTACAAAATATGAAAATGTACCGGAATCAACAGGTGGAATAAATTGTACTATGCAAGATGAAAAGATCGGCTTTAATTTTAATGAACACATAGCATCAAAAACGCTGCATCTTAATACTATTATAACAATTAATACGTAATTTTGATATCGCAATATATTTTGATAACAAAATAATTTTTATTGAATACAGAAATTTTTTAAATTCTAGCTGCGTTACATATAATAGAAATTTTTTAAAATAAAATTACAGTTATAATTACAAATAAGTTTATAGCTAAAACCATAAAACACTGTAGGTGAATGAATGTGGCCTTTAATGATGAAAAATATAGATAAATGCAAACAGATTTCTGTATAAAACATTTCGTAAATAAACAAAAAAGGGAAAGAGGAATAAATCTGAATTTTCTTGCACAGAGTTACGTTAATCTTTACGTCACCATCGATAAAACCGCTGGTTTCGTGATAAAATCACATTGTAACGCTAAGCCTACCGCATTGCTCTGCTTCTTTCATTTCCCTAATCAACATACGTATCTACCAGATAATCAGACGATGCATAAATAATTTTGCGAAACGCGCAAACGATTTTGCAACAAGGAGATGGTGAGTGAAGTCCCTGAGTCGACGGTACACGACATGAGACATCGACTATATTTTATCTCGATTTTTACAACAACGGTCACCGTATGCCACCGCTGTGATACATGACAGAGGTCAAATAGAAGTACCGGACCGGTCGTAATTTGCGACCTATCGGCAGCAGCCGGGTTCTAGTAAGTTTCGTAACTAATCCGCCTCCCCCTCCCAGCGATTAGTAAGTATAAGTAGCGGTTACATGTAGAAAGTCGGTGCTGCGTCGCTTCAAGGTGCTTACCCAACGCAGCATTTCGACAAAAATGCGCCGGATGCAAAAGGAAGAAGGAGCAACTCAACTGAACAACTCAAAGTGCGTTACGAGAATCACGCGAGTTGCGAGTTTTTGGTTTTCCGACTTGTAAAGAGGACTAAATATATCAAACAATGAAAATAAAAATCGATGGAATAATAGAATAATAAAGTGGAATTAGTTTCTAAGATTTTTCAATGAATTTCGATGTTTTAGTTGGAATTCGTGCCAGTCATTCTGTTACGTCTGAGAGCGGCAATCTAGTACGCTACTACGTCAATTCGCGTTTGAAGTGAAATTCCTCAATGAAAGTTACTGCATGTCGTGTACTAACTGTCTACTAGTAATGACAGTAGTGACAGATGTGGTACGAGTCCCGGTCGACGTAAAAGCAACGATGGTAACGGCACGTCCATGTGCATCAGGAAGAAGAGAATGTGGCACCTGTTCGAGACAGGTTTGTCTCCTGATGCAGAAGAAACCAGCCGGTTTTAGCGTATGTATCCAGTATTGTGTTAGATCGAGTGTAATCATCGAACGAAAGCGGTGCTTTATCGATCCTTAATGTCTCGTGGTGTGTTCATTTCTTGAAACTTATAATAGAGTATTTCGAGATATAATATCTATTATATAGAGAAAAATTGCTTGTTAAAAAAAAATAGTAAATAACTTTCAGAATCAATAATCTTTGATGCCCATCTGCCTTTCGTGTGGAGAAAAGAGAGAGTAAAAATTATAACTACACATGTCTCTATAGAGACCTTCACACGCTCAAACTATCTCAAGCCACGGTCTACAGTAATTTGAGAGAAATCATATGTGGATTGTCTTAAGGTAATTAGTTTAATGACTAAATTCATTATCGGTCATTCACTATAACTAGATTAATTAGCACTCTTTGCTATTAAGAGTACGAGCTTCAAAGAGCTCTATATATAACACGACTCTCTAAACTAATGAATCAATAAAATATAATCGTACTTTTTTCAGATCGCTCAGCTCGATATTGCAAACAGAGTCTTCTTTCTCCATACCGCTATCTTCTCCTTCTTCTTTGATTTTATCTTTAATTTTAATTCTCGTCTCATCATTTTTGATTTCCTGACGAGATATAGGTGACGGTGGGGCCGTCGTCGACATGGATGTCGTTGCCGACACATTCTGACGAACCTTTATCCACTTTAACATTTTTACATCTTTGGCTCAAGCCAGAGACATAAATTTCATCCCTTGTACTGCATACTCTGAATCATCGTAGTCATCTTTAAACATTAAAATTTGTACAGCTCTCATCAATTTTGTCAAACGTCGATACGCTCCACAATCGAAATGAAAACATTGCAAAATGATATATCTTCCAGGCCGGATAAAGACAAATGCGAAGTCCCACTCGGTAAAAAAAACTCTTCGTGACGGATTCTTGGTACGATAACGTTATTTGCAATGTCTACACGCGACACTTTACTTGCTCGCCTGATAATATCATTTGGTATATTTGCTCTGTAACTTTACACCGCATTTTCCCTTTGTCAATCTTCTCTTTTTAGGCGATAATGTACACTGTTATCTTTCCTGTTTGCGCCCTCGTGTAGGTCCTCAAACTACGATAGCTGTATTTTTTTTAAAGAGATAAATCAGGGACAACGACCGTTTTTCATAGTATTATTCTTTTCGTATTTAACAAAAAATCGTCGCTTTTCTATTTTCGAGATTGTTGAACAATCTGCGCAAAATATTGCAAGCGTTATTTTGTGACGTAACTGAATAACGCTGTAATCGCGATGCATCAGATAAACGAGAGAACGCGAGAAGAAAGGAGGTACGAAGGTTGACGATGAGCAAGCAGGCAGGCGAGAGCCAGAGAGGCAGATGCTTCTTCATAAAGAACGGAGGAAGAATCGTATCCAGCAATTGCATACCGGATATGCCGGTAGAACCCGTTGTCAGATGAATCGTAAGCACGATTAAAAACGTAAACTCGTTTAGCCGACGAAGTCGTCTTTTTGATTTGCAAAATTGACATTATATATGTGATTAGCTTGCGGTTCCAATATTATCTTGACTCCAAACATAGCAAATCTTCGACAGGTTCTGATGAAAAATCTGATGAATATTCTTTAAGAACTCGTTCATTCGTCAGAGAGCGATTGTCTGAGAAAATTAGTTGCAATTTAAAATAATCATACGGTAAAAAATCTTCTTGGAGATCTTCAAGATATTTATGAATATTATGTAAGTATTTTTATGCCGTTTCTTTGGACCAAATGCAGAATAGTTTTGCATAAATTTGCAATTTCTCAGATTGACGACAAAGTTGCTCCATTGGATGTTAATGTATGAATCGAATGTTGGCGTGGACCGCTTTGTTCCACCTCGACGTACCACGTGCGCCTCCTCTCCTTCAACTGCGTTAGCTTCTCAGGAAGACGAGGAGTAACTTTCTTCCGTTCGCAACTACCGCTGTTTCATATCCGCGTATTTCGATATTCCAATGAGGAGATTTTAACATATAGTTGTACACTGTGCACCGTTATTGTCTAATTAACACTCATCCTCTCTTTTTCCGTAAAGAGATATTGCAACACCATCGGAAGTAGATAATATCGTCGCACGTTTTTTCCTTGCAAACACCTTTACACTCCAGTTCCGGATCGTCAAGAAACGCGAGATTGAAAACACTTTCCTTCGCACAACTTCGACAGTTTCACAGCTTAAACAGCACGACGGCACGGAGAAACCGTGGAGAAGGAGCACGGAACTACCTGCACGCGGCGCCGTGCACCCGTACCTGAGCCAGCGTCCCGCGGTGCGCTGGCGAATATCCCCCACCCTCTCTTCTGACTCTCTTCGTCTTCCTCTTCTTTCTAAGGAGCTACACAAGTATCCCCTTTCTCGCTCCGTCCCACCTTTCGATAGACCCAAGAAGTCCATGACGCCATGACGTCACCCGTTTAGCTGTCCTACGTTCACCTACCTACCTGGACAACCTGAACCACAGCAGCCTATGGCCAGGACCGTAGCTCTCGTTGAAGATTTGGATAACCCACATTTCTTTCAACGATAAGATAAATCAGATAAATCACCCAATTATCGCTTTTGTGAAACTATCGATTTCTTTTGTTGCCATTGGAGTCGCAAAAAATTTATTATGACTCAGGCTAAGTTTATTTCTGTGTACAACGTATCGTGATGCTGTAACATTTTGCGAGTTATAAAATACCTATAGTTATGACTGAACTGATGCCAAGCTGTACGCACAACTCAGTCGCGGAAGTTGACTAAAAACGCAAGCGTTTTTTTCGGTGAATCAAATAACTGGTCAAAATAATTAGATTCTTGCATGATAACGAGAAGATATTGAGGTACAAAAAATCATTATAGAAGCGTTTTGTTCCAAAAAAACTCAAAAGATTTTAGAGGGAAGCCATAGCGGCGGGAAGCTATAATGGCGAGTAGTAGCCAAAGGGTTCAATTATAAAGAGTACGATACTATTCATACAAGCACAAAAAGCATTCATAATACAATTTGCACGCACCAATTTTTATTTTTTTAAGAATTGAAAAAATTGATATTTTTTCCTATACAATTATAAAATAAAATATTGCTAGTCGAATAAACAAGTTTACCGTCTTCGTGTTCCGCGTTCCATTCCTGACACTCTTAACTGATTGTAAGTTACGAGAATATAAGGAACGATTTGCTCGTATCAACGTACGTATGTATAGTATTAATAAATAACTAATATAGAAGATAAAAGATCTTATACATCGCTATATATAGATAGACAAACACAATTTTGCTATGATACATGGACGATTTTTGCTAAAATACAAAAATATATTCTCAAGAAATTTGATGATAAAATACAGAAGACATATAGGTATACGAGAAACGAATTAGATATGCTTAGATCCAATTAAGACTAAGATATTTCATTTAATGTTACATACGTAGGATAAATAATATTGCGAAGGATTGATTTCATGCGCTCATACACATACATACACAGTACCAAACAGGAAATTGTATCTGTTAGATCCTGGCGATTTATTTAAGCAAGAGGCGTGGGTATTGTCGCGTAAAAGAAGTAATCACTTAGGTACGTACAAGGATCTGGAACATTTCCTCCCTCGTTTGCGAGACAGGATGTAAATCTAGTTTGCTTGTAAAATACTCGATCAAATACTTTTAAACGAGTATTAAACGATAATCCCACCTCTCTATACTTTCAATCTTGTCGTGTAGAAAATCTCGGCAATCGAGTTTCCTCAAAACATTCTTCGAGAAAATAGTCAAACTACATTAATTTCAAGAACATTAATAACAAGAAAAGCAGCAAGAAATATACATATTTATTAAATATGGAATGTAAAAGAGATGTTAAAAGAAAATCAAGAACCAGTAGTTTGAATCAACTTTCAGTGCTCCGACACGCAAGTTCAAAGGAACTATTAGCGGTGGCCGGAAATGATCCGGTAATAGCGGGAAATTATATCAGGTGTCCGTAACCGAAGTGGTAATCTGTAAATGTGTTTCTGCCGCAAATTGTCGCGAAGCGCAAAAAAAAGTGTTACAAATCGCGTCTTCAGCAGAATTGCAAGATGTATCGCGCGTTTTTCAAAGATAACAGTTGTTGTTGGCGACACTAGCGAATACTTTTAATTGAGCTCCTCTCCTAATTATGCACGCAGTCGTCTATTAACATCGGTATCTAACAGCCAACTGTATTCAGAATACGGAACATGCAAAGATACAAGAATTATGCTTAAGCACTGCCGATATGATCTGTGCCATTAGAGACATTGTACGGTTCATATCATACAGCTGCATCGGAATTGAATTCTCATAATGCAACGATTATATAAATTTTTAACGTAATTCCGGCTTTTCAGAAAATGCAAATAGACAAACAGGAAATACTTTACGAGGAGCTATCGCCTCCTGAATAATCATAAAGCTAAATTACATTGTCTGCACAACATTAAAAATTCTGTTCCCTTCCTAGTTAACTCAAGCAAAGTAACTTCGATCAGTCACTCACCGATAGTAGAACATTGAAAGTACTTATAAGTTGAAATACTTGCAAGTTAATTTAAGGGGACACATTAAACAAAAATTGCAAGACCTATATATATTTTTTTTTTCAGAAAATATATTCTTAATATGCGCATTCCTTAAAAATTGATGAGCAAAGAAGATCGTATCATGTGGCAAAGGGCTCTCGTAACATCGAAGGATTCTCGCTCCTATCCTCCCATCCTCCCATGCTCCAAAATACATTCATGATGAATCATCTCAGGTATTTTATATGGTTTAAATTCTTCGTTGAGTAGATATTAATCATATTGGTATGCAAGAACATAATCTTTTTTTTTTAATCTTTATTTGTAAAGATTTCATGCAATATTAAAATAGTAAATCTTTAGTATTTTATTTAAATAATAAATATTTATAGTAATTTAATTTAATATTAAGCCTTTGTAGATGGATATGCCTATTGGATCCATTTGGGTTCTTTTTTATTTTGTAAACTTGCTTAATTTTTTAAACTGGCTTATGGAATAATTTAATGATAATATTTTATTCGAATCTAAGGTCAAAAATAAAAAATTCGAAATGGACTCAATAATAGGCAGAATTTAAAAAATTCTCATAACTTGGTTTTTTAGTGTTACTAAAAAAATGTTTAATGTTACTAACAATAAGTAATGCCAAGTTTCCAGTTTCGCTTTATTTGAAGCTTATCAGTTATGCAAACAGTTAACTTCCAAATTGTAAGCTCTGCGCCACGAGTTCCTTTACTGGAAGTTATTACCTTTTTGAATTTTAATATTTTCAGGTCATATTCAAATTCAGCGATTCCAAGATTAAAAATCAAATTTCACAATTAATTAATTAGATTACTTTTTATATTGTATCATATTGAATTCATCATTTTGAATTTTACAGTTCTGAGATCAAAATAAATTCAGCGATTCCAAAAATAAAGCCTTCCATAAAAATTATTTTGTTAAAAAACTCCCGTCCTCAAAGGATTAAAAGTTTACAATAAGATAATGAATTAATTTATTGTAATTTTAGAATATATACAGAAGTAAAATTCATTTTTTACGTGTAATCTTTCTGCACGCTGTAGATATAATATCCGAAATCTTATCAGTAAGATAAGAAACTATCTAAAAGCATCTTGAAAAGATGTCACGATATTTATTTCGAAAAGTATTCAGCGTGAATAATGTAGCGTGGAACCCTGTTTTGGTCCAGCCAATAAGCCAGTAACAGGTAGATAGATCTATGGGGGATATAATTTCTAGTTAGGGTTTGGGTTCTACGTATAAGGGTGGATCCTAAATGCTATCCTGCACGACTTGTAGCTTCTGACATGAGAGATATTAAAACCCAAACTCGCTCAGCAAAGCTATTATCTCAAAAATACCAAGAGCTTCTTCTTTGTTTCCAAAATTGTTTGTGTCGAAATTACGTTACCTAATATTAAATTGTTCAATTATAAATAATGATGTGAGCAATTTACATCTGACATAAAAATTAGGATAAGGTAATGCTTGCAGAAATATTAAGCATCAAGTGCATTTAAATCACACAATTATTGTCACATGAATATTCTGAAATTGTGTAATGTCTGTATCTAGTGCCGTCCCAGTAAGCAAGAAACATTAAAATAAATTTCGAAGCGTTAATTTCATGTGCATTTTTCGAACATTTTTAAATAATATTATATAAATGTTTTGAAAATGTTATATAATAACATAGAATTTATCGAACATTGTTAAAATGTTTTAAAAACATTACTGCAAACATTTTTTTAAGGATTACTCTAACATTTACTTCAGGTTAATATAATATATCTACAATGTTTGAAAATTGTATATAATTATTACCTTAAAATAATGTTAGAATTATATGAAGTTTCTGTTATTACAATGTGTTTAATGCAATGTATATACAATAGTTAGAAATTAATGTTTGTAATTTTTATTTCAAAATAATGTTGGGTGAAGAATTTTCTCAACTTTTAGTGTAAATTCGTAGATGCTTACTGAAAAAATAGTTACGTTTGCTAAAAAATACAATATTTAAAAATTAAGACTTTAAGCGATACTGTCTGAAAAAAACATGATTATTGAGAAGTTTTATTATTCTATCATGTGCGATTCCGTAACTATTACTATTGGTCTTTA